GAGGGAGGGAGGGAAGGAAGATTCAAGGGCTGGGGTAATGGCTAAGTAGTTAAATACTTACTATATAAACATGAGGACCTAATTCAGATCTTTAGCGCCCACATAAAAAGTTGCCTGTGCCTGTAATCCCAGCTCTGGGGCAGCAGAAACAGGAGGATGCCTGGGGATTTGGGGCCAGCCAGTCTAGGCAAACTGATGAGTCTTAAGTGAGAGATTCTTGAAAGTAAGGTGTAAATCAATTGAGGAAGACATCTAACATGGACTTCTGGCCTCCACATGTAAGTGTATGCATGTGCACCCACACACACAAACGCACATGAAGAATTCAGTGTATCACGGGTCTCTTGAAGTGGTTCATCAAACACTTACTACCAAGCCTGACAATCTGAGCTCAATTCCCAGAACCCACAAGGTAGAAGACAAAAATAGACTCCTCCATACACAATAAAAAATGTTCTCTTTGCCTGGCGTGGTGGCACACGCCTGTAGTCCCAGCACTTGGGAGGCAGAGGCAGGTGGATGTCTGTGAGTTCAAGGCCAGCCTGGTCTACATAGTGAGTTCCTGGACAGCTGGGGATACAGGGAGACCCTGTCTCAAAAAGACCAAAAAAAAAAGTTTTTTTTAAGAATTTAGTGAAAAGTTCCTGATACATAGCACTCTATAGATTCTATTGTTTAACAAGTTTTTCCCCTTTTGGTTTTCTCACTAGGTAGCCTAGTGAGAAACTAAGCAGCCCAGGCTCACTTCAAACTCTGCAACCCTCCTGCCTTAGTCTCCAGACTGTTGGGATTACAAGCATGAGTTACCATACCTGTTTGGACTACAATTTTGTGTGTGTGTGTGTGTGTGTGTGTGTGTCTGTGTGTGTTTATATGTGTATATGAGTAAGTGCTAGGATTCAAACTCCAGTCCTCTGCAAGAGCAGCCAGTGCTCTTAACCACTGAGCCATCTCTCCAGACCTAATGGATTACAATTTTAATGTAGATTACAAGATACTGATACACTAGAAGCAACAGCCTTCTGCTGTACTCCATCTTGAAAAGATGTCAGGGGAGAAAAGAGAGATTTTGCTGAAATAAACTAGAATACATACTTCTTAGAATACAACAGAAGATTTAAAAAATTAATACAAGAAATAAGGCTGGAGAGATGGCTCAGCAGTTCAGAGTACTTGCTGTTCTTCTAGAGAACCAGAGTTCCATCCCCAGCACCCATGTCAGGGCTTACAACCGCCAGTAACTCGAGCTTCAGAGTATCTGATGCCTTCTGGCCTCCTAAGGCACCCACATTCACATGTGAATACGCACGCAGACACACAATTTTTTAAATTAAAAAAAAAATTTTAGAAAAGAAATCACTAACACAGAAGTATTTCTGTGCGAAATAATATGATATCTGTCATGTATTTTAAAATAATCCATCTCAAGAAAAGGGAAGGTGTAAGAGAAACTACAGTGGTCATACTTAAGACCTAGTGATGGGGACACATGAGCTCATTGTTTAATTCTGTTTGTATGCTGGCAGCATGACTGGCTCATCAGATAAAGGCACCTGCCACAAAGCCTCACCACCTGAGTTCAATCCCTGGATCCCACATGGTGGAAAGAAAACTGACTCCTCAAAGTTGTCCTCTGACCTGCACCACAGCATGCACAAACCCACAAATATACCCACACTCAAAAAGAAATATAAAATGCCCAAGTTAAAAGTTTGAAAATAGGGTCTGGAGATGGCTCACCAGTTAAGAGCACTCACTGGCTGCTCTTGAAGAGGACCCAGGTTTAGTTTCCAGCACCCACAGGTCAGCTAACAACCATCCTAACTCCAGTTCCAGAGGATCCAATGCCTCAGTCTGACCTCCATGAGCACTGTATGACATAGGTGCACTTACATACACGCAGGCATTACACTCATACACATAAAATAAGTGGGGTTTTTTGTTGTTTTGGGTTTTTTTTTTTTTTTTTTTTGGTCTTTTTGAAGCAGGGTCTCCCTGTAAGCCCCAGCTGTCCTGGAACTCACTATGTAGACCAGGCTGGCCTTGAACTCAGAGAGATCCACCTGCCTCTGCCTCCCAAGTGCTAGTGCTGGGACTACAGGAGTGTACCACCACGCCCAGCAACAAGTGTTTTTTTAAGTTTAAAAATAACACTAGATGGTATCAATATTTCATTAAACAAGAGTCAAAAATTCAAAAAGGACATGACATACATGGTACTTAGGCATTTTATGCACCATCTATAAAAGGGTTGTCTTTAAGAGAAAAATCCTCTTAACTAAAATGAAAATTAATATATACGCACAAACATGTAAATATACATATTAAATGGTTGTATTTCTATCAACTCATTAAAAATATCTCTTAAGGGGCTGGAGAGAAGGTGCAGTGGTTAAGAGTACTGTCTGCTCTTGTAGAGGACCCAGGTTTGAGTCCCAGCACTCACATGGTGGTTAACAACCATTTGTAGCTCCAGTTCCAGGAGATCTGATGCCTTCTTCTGGCCTCTGTGGGCATTGCACGATATGGGTGCACTTACACACATGCGGCAATACACTCATACACATAAAATAAAAATAATATAAAAAAATCTCTTGAAATAAGTAACACATTTTTTTCATGTCTTTCTCCTGCCTAATAATCTCTATGATTATGTTACTCCCTGGTTTGTTGCCTAGGAAGTAGATGGGATAGGTGGACAAACTGACCCCACACCACCACAAACAGTATGAATAAAACCCAAAAATCTCCTTCACTAAGAAAGACTTCTAACATTTCTTCAGATTGTAGTTTTAAAAATATTCTTTTTTTGCACTAATGAATATGTCTATGGGCTTCTTGTATGTACAAATACAATCAAAACGATTTGAGAACTTTTTATATGCCCTAAATTATATCGCTAAAACAATAAATTCAATCCTCAGAACTGTTGAAAAATAATAATAAAGTCAAACACTATAACTTGGCACTTTAGAACACATTAACTAATTAAAGAGAGATCTATTTTTGTAAAAAGAACACCTAAAGTTTAGGGTAGTAAAATTACTGTTTGTAAAACAGTACTTTGTAAAATTAACTTGCCCCAAGTCACAGACCTAAAGTTGCTAAACTGGTATTCATACTTAAGTTCAATTACGACACCCACTTTCCCCTCCACTATATCTACCTCTAAGGGAGAAAAAAAAGCTGTATTTGCAAATCACACTTAAATATTTTAAAGGAGGTCATAAAATACTTAAGTTAATGGATATTTTTCACAGGGGCATCTTGGCTTTGGGAAAGGAGAACTAACTAAAACACACAGTAAGGGCTGTTTCTGTTGCTGTGGAACTTTTTTTCTTCAAGTCTCTTAATTCCAGCCTGTTTCTGATCTTTATATAAAGGGGAAATTAACACTGTTGCTGTTTAATACTAGAACTATAAAACTCAAAGATGGTAAATGTGAAACAAAATAAAAACACTATTAAACTAATACAAATAGAGTATTTCGTGCCCTAAAATATTTACTAAAGACAAGAGAGGGGCAGGCATAGTGGCACATGCCTTTAGTACCAGCACTTGGTGGGCAGAGGATGGTGGATCTCTGTGAGTTCCAGGGCAACCTGATCTATAGAGCAAGTTCCACACTAGCCAGGACTACATAATGAAAGCCTGTCTCAAAACAAAACAAAACAAGCAAAAACAAACAAACAAAACCACAAAAAAGGAAAACAGAAACAAGGGAAAGTTTTCTAAAGTTAACTGTCACCTATTTACTATACAAATCGTATTAACTTTTCCAGAACTTTCTAAGGACCTTTTTTTCTAAGTTTAATCATCATCTCTATTACTTAGCTTTTCTAAGTAATATAATGCAACAGAAATCACATCAACACCTTTATAAATTAATAATTAACATCATTTTTAAATGCTCAACACCCAAAAGTTTTAAATTGGAATTTTCAAATTAAGTGTTTGGTGTCACTACTATATTAATTTAGTGTTTGGTGTCACTACTATAATTAATTTATCATCTTAATGTTTGACCTTTTCACATTCAGTTTGTATAAAAAGACAGAATTAAGAACCAGAATTCTAAGGTAGAACACCCAACACATAATTTAAATGATTTAGAGGGGATTTGCCCAAGGCTTCTCAAAGCAGATACAATCGCCAACAAAGCACTTCCGAGCACAGCAACAAAATCCACTGAAACATTTAGCTGCTCTGAAAGAAGGCTCAGGCTCTTTAGGAGAAAACTACATTGTGTGAGTGTGCAAAGTTTCACACTTTCCCATTTCAACTCCATTTCAGAGAAAGCCTTTGCATACTAACACAATCTGCTTTAAAATGGCACTTTGCTGACCTTCCAATAGTCCAGCTCTATGAAAATTCTGTGATGGGTGTAACTTCAGAGAATCTGAAAAACACAAAAAGCATTAAGTACTTTTTATGCTGAATGAGAAAAAACTGCCAAGGATAGCATACATCTCTTATGTAACTATTATGTATTTTTAAGAGCTAAAGCCTGTATTTTTTAGTATAGTCCCTGCAAAAGGAAAGTGATATTATTTCTACATTGGTGTCTAAGCTAAACTTGGATTCTGATAAAGCATTTGTTTCATGGAAAATTATCTAATGATTACTGCCCAAGTAGTGTTACTGTCTTAACTATTTTTAGCATCGAATTGTCCATGGAGTCTAGTCTAAGGATCATCTCTTGATACTGTTTCTTCTGACACTTAAAACTAGTTTCTGAACTACTTCAGGTGACCTCTGAAAAACATCCCACAGGATGCTGAGTGCCAACTACAGTTATTAGAGCAACTGACAATAGCTAACAGTTACAAGTAGGACTCTGTGTACAAACTCAATAGTCCGTCTAGAAAGGCCAGTACCTTCCTGGGTAAACCCCAACAATCTGATTCACATAAAACCATTCAAATACTAATGTCAGGCTTAAGTCTCCCGGGTTTTTTTGTTTTGTTTTGTTTTGTTTTTCCTGGAGGGGTAGAATCATAAAAACCAAAACCAGAATGCTGAACTTCTCAGGAAAAGGGTTCACAGTGGCACACTTTAAAAAATACACTTATATGACTAGTTAACAACCCAATTAGGTCTTTCGTCCCCTCCCAACGGTGTAAATAGTGATGGGTGCAGTTATTTTTGGTTTGATGCCCCTCACAAAGGGAACCCATTCTGACACATTCTTGTGATGCCCAGTATAGGAATTTAATCCCAGTTAGAGATCACCTCACGTGTTGATGTTTTAGATGCTGGGAATCCCCTTCAGGCCTTAGCCAAAATAGAATCTAAATAGGAATCTCTGTCCGGTGCCTCTTTCCTGCAAGGAGCCCTTGCACTGCAAAGAGAAATTTCTCAAAGGACAGCGACTGTGCCCGAACCTGGTACTCCGGAGAGAGGACTTAAAGTAACCCGAGGAGTGCAGCACCCCTATCTTTGTAAAAGACGGGGAGCAGTCATTCGCTTGCCTCGGGGGTGGGAAGGCAGAAAAAGGAAATTCGGGCCGTTTCCAGGCACGAAGATGACGAGGAAAGGAAGAACGCCTGGTCGAGGGGGGCCGTCCCGACCAGGCGAGGGAGTGGACTAGGCCGGAGGGTGGAGGGGGGGATAGGACGATCGCGCACAAACAAGCCGAAAGGCAGAGAAAAAAATGGTGACCCCGCGCTCCGGAGCCACTCTGGGCCCCGCACCCCGCAGGGAGCAGCTAGGGAGGAGGAGGGTCCGGGGAGGAGCGGGCTCGGCGCCCCGATCCCCCACGGGCCTCAGCGCGGGGCCCAGCGTGGGGTGATCCCGAGCCAGGGGAGGCCGGGGCGGGCGGATGGCCAGAGGGCTCGGCAGGGGAGTCCCGGGGTGCCGCGGACGGCGGAAGCGCAGCCCCCCCGAGACCCCGAGCCGCGGGGGAGGAGGGACCGCCGCCCCGGCATCACCCGGCCCTAAGCGCCGGGCCCCGGGGTCCAACCCGAGACTCTGGCGGAGGACGGGGTCCCCTCCCCGCCCCACCCCCCGCCTGACTCACCTCGCGAGTACAGGGACTTGGGCGACTCCAGGTCTAGGTCCGCGCTGAGCAAGGAGATGAAGTCCGAGGGCATCGCAGCTCGACCCAGCCCGGCCCGAGGGCAGCGGGAGGGGGGGAGCGGCGGTGGCGGCGGCACCTCCTCTCCGGGACCGCGGGCACCGAACCGGGGGCGGCTAGGCGAGGGCGGCTGCCGCCTCCTCCTCCTCCTCCTCCTCCTCTCCTCCTCGAGGGCAGTCACTTCCCCCCGGGCCGAGGAGCGACGAAGCGGTGGCCGAGCGGAGGGCAACTCCAACGAGCTGGAGAACGGATCCCCGGGGAGTCGACGCAGAAGAAGGTCCGAGGCGGGGAAGGGGAAGGGGACAGACGACGGGTCCGTGTCGGGCTTCTCCTCAACGAACACTGACGGCCGCCGCCACCGCCGCCGCCGCCGCTGACAGGAATCTGAGCCCCGCCCCCTCGGGAGGCATTGCGCATGCGCAGGGCGGGGAGGGAGGCCGACAGCCCGGAAGAGCCGAGCGGCGGGCGGAGGGCGGACAGGCGGCGCCACGGAACAGCATCAACAAGGGCTTTGCTTCCTGCCGCCGCTGCCGAGGCTGCTGGCTGATCCCGGGCTGGGAAAGGGCCCCGCCAGCAGGGAGGGAGGAAGGGAGGGAGGAGGGAGGCGTCCTCGCTTCTGGGGCCCCGAGGAGGGAAAGGATATTTGCACCGACCTGGTGGCGGCAGGCCTGAGGCGGCCGGCCCTGCTGCATGAGATGTTCGCAGGAGGACGCCGAGCCTGGGGAGCCTCGGTGTCTGCAAGGAGGGTGACGACCCCCAGAGACCTTCCCTGGCTTCCCCGGAGATAGGAGTTTCATCGCCTGGACAGCGACCCAGCCCGCTGGGCTTTCCATAGCAGTGTCTGCAATGAGCCGGCCTAAGAATGCCAAACTCATTTTTTAATTAGGAAATGGCAAGCTATAGACTAATCCCCACCCCACCACCAAGTTACTGGTTCTTTTTTATTAAACTCCCCCCCCCGCCGCCTCCACCCCAGGATTATGGAACTTTATTTATTTATTATTTTTGACACACGGTCTTGCTTTATAGCACTGGCTGGCTTGGAGTTCACAATGAAATCTTAAATTGGCCTCGAAGTTGTGACAAACCTTTCGAATGCTGGCTTTACAGGAGAGCACCACCATGCTGAGCTTTGATTTTTTTTAATTTTTATTGTATTTATTTTTAATGATCTCTCTCATTGTGAATGCCCTAATTTATTCAGAATGGAAAATAGAAGATAATTTAAAAATTGGATCCTATGACTCCACCTGGCTGTTTGAGGGTGAAGGAGACAGACAGACAGACGACAAACAAACCTAAAAGGTTACTCCCTCAAACAGGTTTTCACTTTTCATTTGTACTGAGGATGGAGGAAGAACACGTAAATGAGTTTTGGCGAGTCTGTTCATGGGGGCCAAAAGTTTCCATTGCAAAAACAAATCCTCACCTACACCGCAGACCGTTTCCTGACTCTAATAGACTTCTGGGAAATTTTTAATCAAGTTATTAAAATATCAATTGGAGCACAGGGTGTGCATCTTGGGAAATAAATTTAATCTTGTGTGGGATATTGATGCCAGCAATCACATGGGTAAGATTTTTGAGCTATTTGAGAGGGTTTGATTTTTATTAATCTATAAAGCAGTTAAAAATCCTAAAACTTGTATTTTGTGTGTATATCATTAACAAAGCTTTGTCCCTTTGAATTTGGACAACTCATCTGGACTTGCAATGCTGGCACATGAGACCCCGGTGAAAGTATCTCTGGGGTAGGCCCATTACAAAACTTAACCTGCAGACCTAGAATTTAAACATGTCATCAGAGCCTACTTATCTTTCCATCCGAACATCTGATTCAGGTTTCCCAATTATCTTCATTGGATTCTTCATAATAATAACCAACCCTGTGAGCATTTTCCTTCTATCAGAGGTAAGAAAGATTTTTTTTTTTTTTTTTTTTTTTTTTTTTTTTTTTTTTAAAAAAAAAAAAAAAAGAGGACGATAAATCTTTCACTGTGATATATCAAAATTGTCTTTTTGAAGCAGGGTCTCCCTGTAGCCCCAGCTGTCCTGGAACTCCCTATGTAGACCAGGCTGGCCTTGAACTCACAGAGATCTGCCTTCCTCTGCCTCCCAATTGCTGGGACTGCAGGCATGTGCCACCATGCCCAACTAAGAAAGATTTTTTTAGAGCCACCCAAGATGGCAAAGCTAAGCAGGAAACTACCCTCAAATTTCTATGACGACTGTAACTCTGTGGTAACAAGTCCCAAGGGAAGTCCCTTCATAAGTTCTAAGGGCCCCACACATTTGAGAGGGGACATTTCAAACCTCATATTTCCCAACAGGCCAAGGCCCACTGAAATCCCATAGCTTGAGATGGAGCAAAACACAAGATGATTGGAGACCTCTCTCCTCCATTAGTAACTGCATAACACATGAAGAGGAAATTACAGTGCACCAGGCCGAGCCCCAGTACTAAGAAAGCTAGGTGAATCATTGAATCACTGAGCATCTTCCTTTTCCCCAGACCTACACAATAGTAACACACTTAAGAGTATAGGAAATCCCCCATTACTGTTCTGACCCTAATTAATTAGTAGAGAAGTGATGAGGCCTCTTCCCCTTTCTTCTCTTCTGAACTCTTCATTGACTCTTTTCCTTTATTGTTTATGCTAATCAGGATTCCTCTGATTAGATAAGAGTAAAATGAAGAGGTATCTCCCTAAGTGTGATTTGGTTTTGGTTCTGAATTCCCTTAGATGGGTATTCTATGGGCTCAGGACCCAACCCATCAGGCCCTGCATTAAATACTAACTACACACACACACACACACATACACACACACACACACACACACACACTTGGGGAGGATATTTATATCTTATGTATTTGATTGTCTGCATGTATGTAAGTGCACCAGTGTCTTACAGTGCTTGAGGAGGCCAGAAGAGGGTATTAGATCCCCTGGACTTGGAGTTATGGATGGTTGTAAGCCACCATGTGGGTGCTGGTAACCAAACCCAGGTCCTCTGCAAGAATAGCCAGTGCTCTTAACCTCTGAGCCATCTCTCCAGCCCCGTTTTTTTTTGGCGGGGTGGGGGGGATCTCACTCTGGCTAGCCTAGAATTCACTATGTAAACTTGTAAACTAGGCTGTCCTCAGACTCCCAGTGATCCTCCTGCCTCAGTTTCCCAAATGCTAGGATTATAAATGTGTGCCATCATACACAGCAAATTCAGAGATTCATTGTCTTTCTAAATAAATGAGAATTTAGTATTCCTCCTTTTACAGACACATTCTTTGAAAAACTGTTGAAAGTGAATTTTAAAAATGTATTTATTATTGTATGTGTATGTATGCATGATGTATATGGACATGTCAGGGTCAGAAGACAACTTTGCAGAGTCATTTCTCTCCTTCCACCTTTATGTGGGTCCCCATAATCAAACTCAGGTTACCAGGCTTGCTCAGCAGGTGCCTTTATGGCTAAGCTGTCTTGCCAGCCCTGAAAAACTGTTTAAAAGGAGAATTGTTATGGCATGCTTTGCAGCAACATAGATTTCTGCCAAGCATGTTGTATGCCCAACCTGTAATCCAAGCACTCTGAAGGCTGAAGCAGAAGGATCAACATAAATCAGAGGCCTAGTTTGAGATCCTGTCTCAACAGCAACAATCCAAAAATTCTAGATTTTCATTTTATCCTTCAATTTTCAGTGATTTAATACAAATTAGTCAAGCATGGTAACTCTGGCCTCTACAATGCTAAGTCAGAAATATTTGACATGTTCAAAACAGGCCTGAGTTACATAGAAAACCCTGTCTCAAAAACAAACAAGCAAGACTGGCGATACAGCTCTGTTGATAGAGTGTTTGCCTAGCATAGTTGAAGTCTTGGGTTCAGTTCCCAGCACCACTTATACCAGGTGTGGTGACGTACACCTGTAATCCCAGGTGGAGACAGAAAGTGTAGAAGTTCAAGGTCATCCTTGGCTTCACAGACATGAGACCCTGTCATTCATAAATAAATAAATAAATAAATAAATAAATAAATAAATAATGACTTCGGTGTGGTGGTGCATGTCTATAATCCCAGCTCTCAAGTGGTTGAAGCAGGAAGATCAGAAGTTCGAGGGCAGCCTGGAATACAAGCAGAAAAAATCAAAACCAAAATCCAGGTGGTTGCGATCGGGTAAAGATCAGGAGTTCAAGATCACCCTTGAACCAAGATCACAGAAAGTTCCAGGCCATCCAAAACTACATGAGACCATGCCTCAAAAAAACAGAGTATAGCCAGGCATGGTGGCACCAGAGTCTGATCCCAGCACTCAGGAGGTGACAAGGCACGTGGATCTCCGAGTTTGTGGCTAGCCAGGGCTACATAGTGAGACCCTATCTCAAAAAAACCAAACCAAACAACCTCCCCAAAAAAGTTTAATAGTTTTTGCTTTCCTCTGATAAAAAAAGACAATATGAACTTTGCAATAGTCAATGTTTGATCCTTGTGTCCTTTGTAAATGATATACTGTGTCTACTTCCAATGATATTCCACTGTGTGTCCCTTTATGTCAAGATTGCATCTCCTTTTATTTAGAATAGTGTAATGATATATTTTAAACATGATGCATCCATCGTCTATGCCTCTTCCTTAAACAGTGAAGAAGCACACAACAAAAATTAAAACATTTAGCTGGTTGTGGTAGCGCACGCCTTTAATCCCAACACTCGGGAGGCAGAGGCAGGCATATCTCTGTGAGTTCAAGGCCAGCCTGGTCTACATAGTGAGTTCCAGGACAGCTGGGGCTACTGGGAGACCCTGTCTCAAAAAAACAAACAAACAAACAAAAAAAATTAAATGTAAAATTTGGAAATTTCATCTCTCCGAAAATCACAATAGGTGCATAGAACAAAATGCACAGATTTGTTAATTCCTTTATATTACTTCATAATCATATATCACATTCCCTAGTCATTTGATTAAAATTTCACAAGAACCTAGACTCAACTACAAGATTGTAATAGGTTACGCAAGAGAGTGGCAGTTTTTATATTGGCAATTGTTCTTTAACCCCTCCTGAACCTGTTTAGGCACTTTTGTGAACTGTACAGCTGGATCTACTGTAAATGAAAGAGGTTCAAATATCAACCACTGAAAAGAAATAAACTCATATAGAACAGAGGAATGTGTTGTCACCAGATCTACAGAATCTTACCACTGTAATACAATTAAGGCTGTTAAAATGATTTTAGTCACACATATATTGTAAGGAACCTGCTAAACAAACACAAAACCTGAAAGGAAAATTTTCAGAGCAACTTAAGTAATAAGCCCGCCCCCCCCAAAAAAAAATTTGGACCACAAATTATTTTCCTCCAGCTTGGAGCACTCTTCAATAATAAT